CCAGCAATGACCAAGACCATTTCACGAGGGCTGAAATAATTGTTTTCATCAGTCCCATTAAAAGACGTGGTTTGGTCATGAAGACAGTGCAATGAGACTTAAACACTGATGAAGTCCAAAATTTTGCCTGTTTAATAAGAGTCCATCAATGGGTCTATGAGTCCACATTTTAAACATATAAAAATGATGTCATTCTGATATAAAAATGAGTGATTTAGTTACATATTTTCTTGGCTTTAAAAAAAAATTTGTGAGTCCTAAGGTATAATTTTTATGTTTTAGACAGCTTGAAGGCATCTGTTCTTTGATTCCTTTAGAAGATTAATTTTTGATTAATCCATTCTTTATGCTTAAAATATACATGTTAGAATATTCCCAAATTCATAAGTTTGGTTTAAGCTCTGCCATATGTATTACACATTTTCTATCATGTCCACAATAGTCAAAATCTGACAATATTAAAGTTTTTTGTTCTTGTACTTCTTCATAAAAGTGCCTTCCATCCATTTTCTTCCTTCTTATTCTGGTTTATTTCCTATCATACTACTTATCACTACTTGAATTTATGGCATATATTTGTAAATTATCTAATGTATTGTTTGTTTCTTGCTGCCAATAAAGGGAACTCTAAGGGGAGAAACGCGTTTCCATGTCTAGCCTTTGTTTACAGATCTAGCAAAAGCAATTTTGAGTTTTAATAAAAAGGAAAACTTAATGGGAAGTGAATTTGGCTTTTATTTTAATAATATACATTTCAAAGTTGTAAGGTTTTTAAATTTACTTTATGGCATTATTTGCTATCTAATAAAAATGCTCCCTTAACAAATACGGTCCGTTCACCAGATCTATAAGATTTATTGATATTGTTCTTGTTTTAATAAGGTGGTTCAGCTTAGAGGAGCTTCATTAGGCTTTCAAGGCTTGATGAGCCTACTTACAAATCCACATTATGATTTAGCAAGTAATTTTAGAAAATCCATTACACAGCTATTGCAAAGTCTAATTCAGATGGCTTAAAATAAAATTATATAGTTTATTAAACTTGAATTTTATTTACATTTATATTATAAATGTGATTATTTTTAATAACTTTAAATGTGCAATGAACATATATGTTTTCCCACCAAATGGCAGGCAAGCCATAGCAATTGATACCAAATTGTAGTATCTAATAATCTTGGAAAGTCTTCAATCATTCCCCAGCATATTCATCTCTCTCTTTTATAAACCCCTCTTTATTTTCTTAGTCAGATGCTTTAATTTTTTTCTTAAACTCTTTCAATTTAGAACCTCTTTGACAATCTATGAAAGATATGGTAGGAAAATGCAGAAAAATGTCCATGTGGACATCCATACATTTTGCACAGAATTTCAAGAGAGTCACAGATTTCTTGGGTCCATCCAGGGACCGTGCAGGGGTCATGGACTCCAACTTAGTAGCGCTTGTCTTATTCTGTTAGTGTCTCCACATTGCCCTCAGAAGTGCCTTTGTCGTAACTAGCACCTAACCCTTCAGGTGACAGTATGCGTACTAAGTTGTGGACCCTTTTCATACTATATTGTATTTGCAGGACCTAAGAAAGAAAGCTCAGGAAAGGTATACCATTAAAAAAAAAAAAAGTTCCAGAAAAAAATTGTGGGTAACATTGTACCCATAAGGCTCTTACGGTTTATTATTCCGTTTATATAATCCTCTCTAATTTAACAGTGAAAGTCCAGCCTATTGTGTACGTATTATGTTGAAGGAAAAGGGAAGTTGTATCAAAGACGGAGTGTGGTAATAACAGCCCTTCAAATACAACTTGAGCATTCACAATAGGAAAGACCAAGATAAGTAAAGGGGTAAAACACTAAGATAGACCACAAACAATTCTTCTTCTAAATAGGCTTCATTTAGCAGATGGCTACTGAAGGCCTCTTCTTTGCCTCCTTCATGTGTAAAACAAGTGTCTATCGACAACGGCAATGTGCCAATCCCAGTAAAGGAGAGAAAAACAAAAATATGGAACTCATCTTTGAAAGTTAAGTCTTTTCTTTCATGAATCTAGACTATCATTTAGTCTGTGAGTGTTTAAGGCTGTTAAGTTATAGTGTAAGCTCATTACCATTTAAGGGTAACAGGTAATACTGTATATAGTTACAAACTGTACAGTCATTGAAAAGTTTCTTCTCAACTCATCCTGATTCATCCCAATCAAATCTAATGCTTTATTCATCCAAATCAAATCTAACGCTGTGTAAGTTCCTGGTATAAATTCAGAAATCCTGTTCTATATTAGAAGATGGAAGAGATATAGTTTCTAATCCATAATGCATTGCTCTTCTTTAGATTTAGTTAAGATACGCATGTACTCTTTCAGACCAAATGGGGCATCTGGGCAGGATTTCATCGCTTTCTTCATTTCATTGTAACACCTCAACTCATCATTTAAAGATAGAGAGAAATAAAAGTGAAAATAACATTACAAAACAAATATTGGAGAGATATCTTCATGGGCTGGGTTTTTAATGCATCAGGGATTGAATGAGGATGGTGTATTCAAGAGAGAATAAGAGTTCACTGAAGTTAGGAAGAAAACAGAAGCACTAACGTTGGCAATAAATAGCTCCGATTATTATTATGACTAAATGCAAGTCGACATTCCTCTATTTTACATTTAAGAACTAAAGACCTAGCAATGAATAAAGATAAAGGTTTAGTGGGTTTCAATAAGTCGGGTATTCAAAATAAAATTAGCCTCATTGACAGGTGAAATTGATCTGGCATTTCACAAAAGAAAGTAAATGGATTTTTAAAAATGGTGCTCTCCTTATATAGGGCACTTCAACAATTTAAATAATTCAAAAGTTATTTCTCACGGAAATGGAATCAATTTTCTCTATGCCTGAAGTGCATTAATGACTATTCTGAATTTCCTTCCCTCCAACCAAGTGATAAGTCAACGTAAAAAAACCCTGAAAGCTATTACATTGTAGAAAATACAATTTTCTCCTTGAAAAGGAATAGTTATTGGTTGCTGCTAAACTTAATGTGAGATTTACAAAGTTATAATACTATGGCTATGTTATGCACAGGAACAGCTCTTCTAGTGCTCAGCTACTAACACAGAAAGTTTCAGCACTTGTCACATTTCAATTCATGACATCTGTATCTATTTTCTCAATCTTGTGTAAGCCATGCTTCAGTCAATGCTTTTTCGCTCCAAATCCCTTTTAGAAGTTTTCGTTTTTGTTTTGCATTTCACTCGTTGCAATGAGTATCACCAAAAAAACCGGCTATATTGAATATATTTTTCTAATAAATATGATCCGGACATTTCAGTTACCCTTCTGCCAGCCTATGGAAAATTTAGGCAAGTCTCCCGCCACCATTTGGAGCATCACAGGTCTGAGTTAAATGAAATATGGACTTTCAAACCTACAAATCATAATAGTTTGAAACATCAAACAAAGAAAATGTAAATAACTATGTTCAATCATAGTTATCAAATCTGATGTCAAATTGTTTTAAACCAAGGTTTCTCTCTCTTTATATTCCACATGGATTCCATTTTGTATAGTCTATTATACATTTAATACTTTTGCTTTCCCTGTTGACTAACTATAGCTCTCTGGTACATCCGAAATCTTCCCTCTCCAACTCTTCTTTTTTTTTTTTTTTAGCTGAGCCATCCTGCCACCTGTTGGCAGCTCAGCGGCAGCTCAGCTCAGGCCGGGCATCGAACCGCCGTTGCTCAGAGCTGGCACTCTTGAGCGAGCTCTTAACCAACTGAGCCACTCAGCTGGCCCATTCCAATTCTTCTTTTTAATTAAATTTATTGGGGTGACATTGGTTAGTAACGATTATATGTTTCAGGTGTACACAGGTATACAATTCCATAATACATCCTCTGTATATGGAATTGCGTGCTCACCACCCAAAATCTAGTCTCCTTCTGTCAGCATGTATTTGACCCCCTTACCCTCTTCATCCTCCTACCCCACTCTTCCCCTCTGATAACCACCCTTCTGTTGTCTTTGTCTATGAGTTTGTTTGCTTTGTTTGTTTTTTGCTTTCTGTTTTATATCCCTTGGTCTGAGAGAGTTTTTTGTGAACTTGACCCCAAAGGCAAGAGAAGAAAAAGCAAACAGTAGATGAATGGGACCGTATCAAACTAAAAAGCTTCTGCACAGCAAAAGAAACCACCAACAAAACAAAAAGGGAACAACTGAATGGGAAAAGATATTTGCAAACTTATCTCTGATAAATTATATAAAGAACGCATACAACTCAACAACAACAAAACAAACAATCCAATTTAAAAATGGGCAGAGAACCTGAACAGAGACCTTTCCCAAGACGGCATACAAATGGTCAACAGATATATGACAAGATGCTCAACCTCACTAGCTATAAGGGAAACGCAAATCAAAACCACAATGACATACCACCTCACACCTGTTAGAATGGCTATTACTAATAAGACAGGTAATAACAAGTGCTGGAGAGGCTGTGGAGAAAAGGAGACCCTCATACACTGCCGGTGGGAATGTAAATTGGTGCAGCTACTGTAGAAAATAATATGGGGGGTCCTCCAAAAATTAAGAACAGAGGCACCATATGACCCAGCAATCCCTCTTCTGGGTATCTACCCCAAAAATTTAAAAACATTTATTCATAACGATATATATACCTCCAATTCTTAACAGTGAGCCACTCCCTGCCCAATATTATATATAGTAGGTCTCAGCCGACAGCTGATGTCCCTGAAATTATTTCTCTCTTTGGTATTGGTAGCAAAGAGATGGTAATCTTCTTAGATGAAAAAAAATCAAAAGCAAAACCTAGCAACACTCTAATTTTAAAACAGAGAAATTAATGCTTATCTTATGGAGTCCAACAGAATTTTCTATATAAAATTGCGAAGCCTTATTTCAACAAAACCATGCACTTGAATTTGTTTTCCCTGTATCTTCTATGATTAATGATATTCAGGATCTTAGAGGACATCTCATCTTACCTTCCTGCAGGGCTGGAGCTACTGTCTTCACTTTCCCACTGTTCATTTTTACTTCTCGGAATGGGGGGCTGTAACATTTCAGCAGCTAGTGGGTCAGCATCATTCTCTTCTCGGCCAATCCATTCTCCGATCACACGGGGTCTCAGAAGAGAAGAATTAAACGCCGCCGTTTCCTGAAGAGGAGAAAAGCACGTGCTGCCTTAGATGATTTGCTAGTGTTAACAGGTCAACAGGGACATACTTTTGTCTGGAGCTTTCACTGCTTTCTCAAATCAAAATGTTCCTTTCTTCTTTCTGAATTGACTTAAAACTTCAGTTTACTCCATCTCTACTAGATGGCTTTATGTGATTTGCCTTGATTCCCAAAGGTCGCTGTCACAAAGGATCCAGGGATGGGGTCTACATTTGGAAGGCTGCATCTGTGTTCTCAGGAAGCAGGTTTGGGATAAGCATTTGTGACAGAAGGAAGAACATGTTGTAAAGCCCATGTAGTGAGAGAGTTTGGTGTCGCTGGGAAATGGTAAAGAATTTCGCAGGAGGGAACTGGAATGGGGTCAGAAAATACGGAAACAGGGAGACAGGGCTGGAAGGGCGTGCTGCCTCCCACTGTGAAGTATTTGGGACTTTTAGGGATCCCCTAGAGGTTCGAACCAGGGCAATATCAATGACAGGTATGCTGTGCTAATTCAGAAAATGTTAACTGATCTCTCTTCATAGACTCAGATATGATGCGGCTCTTTAAATGAGATTTTAAATATTATATCATTTAATAATTTAAAATGATATGAGAAGACTGAATATGTGTAATTCCTAGGAATATCTTGGTAAATGGAAAAAGGGCAGGTTAAAAAAACAACATGTATTGTATGATCAAATTTTTGTTTAACAATTCATATGGCTGTATACCCATCATTCATATGCATTTATTCATTTATTCATTGTCTTGTGTTTATTAAGACCTACTATGTGCCAGGTACTTTTTGATTTGTTGGGAAAAAATAATTGTAAGACTAAAATTTAATTATTTTATCTGAATGGAGGAACTACAGGTTAATTTGAATTTCTTCTTTTGGAATTTCCATGGTTTTTCATTATTCTATGACAAATATGTACTTGTCTTCTAATGAGGAAAAAAATGTATTTTTAAAATATCTTGATCTGAGGAAGACAGACTTTGCTTACATTATATTTAGCTATAATTTTTAGTATTAAAAGAGTCTTGAACAATTCCTTAAAAGTTCAGACCTGGTCTTCTGAGTCTTTACAATTCCTCAAAATATTACATAAATACAATACAAATAAAGTATGAATATGCAAATATAACACCAAAAGCAACATGTGAAATATGATTGGGACATATTTGGTGTACATTTATCCAAGTAATAAGAAGTGACAGAAAGTAGTTGGCTATCTTAATATTGATTCCCAGCCCACATGAAAATGTAGTGGATAACTCTTAGTAACAGTGTTTGCATAGCAACTAATCTGAATTCCTTCTGTATTTATGTTCCCAGAGTCAGAAAATCAAAGCACTATAACAGCTTTCAGCTGTGAAATCATGCAATCAAATTAATGTTTTGAAATTACTAGAAAAGCATATTCATCTGCCACAATTTAATATCATTTGAAGTTTAAGAATTAAAATTAAATTTTAAACCTAAATTTGCTTCTAAAAGCAAATTGAGACAAAGACATGTTTTAGAATTTTAAAAACTCTATAAACATATTTTCAGCTTCAGAATCAGTTTTGGCCTGTGTGTCTTTGAAACGTTACTTGTTCGCTGAATTCTACTTTCTCCAACAGTAACATGGTGATGATGGAATGACAAAACCTACTGTAGCAGATGAATTAGTGGGGTAGCACAATTAAGCCATAGAATTCTGTATGTATGCTAGACACATTTATTTAAGGATATGGGCTGCATTCAAACCACTTCTCTACGCATGATGTATCTGCGGAAAAATCAGTAAACAGAACAGCAGGAATGAGCCAGTTTGATGAAAATAGATGCTTGGTTGTAAATAGGGACAGAGAATTGAAGAGGCAGTTTTCACCCCATAAAATTTTATTTTATAGATAGTATATGTCAAAGGCTGGATAATTAATTCAATGTTATTAATCTTATGTAATGGGGCAGAACTGGGCTTAAAGATTTGTCTTGCTATAGGTTCAACAGATAAAAATGGGGACAAAGAAACTGACCATTGTGCCAAGAGAAATGAGTGGGTTCGGGCAGTAAAAATGAAATTGTAAAACGGGTTTTAAAGTTGAGTATCATCAAAAAGTTGAGAACTGCACAGACTCAGAAAAAACTCCTTGGTTGTTTCCTGGGAAATTCAATAAAATGAGAGAGGCCCTTGCTGCTGGAACGTGGAGCACAGAGAGAAGAAGGATAAATGGTTTCATAGGCAGCCTGTTTAACTCCACCTGGCAGTCGAAATGTGGTGAGAGATAGCTGAGGAGTACAGCAATACAGAGAGCTGCAAAAAGGGTCAGGGGACTTGGGTCGGGGGGGGGGGCCTTTTATAGGTGACAAAAATGTGACTCCACTATTTTTATTTTTTGCAATGCATATGTTTTTGTTGTTTTTTATCTACCCCTTTTTAAAATGATCATATCTCTAAAAGTTCTTGAATATAGCCTATTTAACTGTAATCGATTAAAATAGCATATTTTTCTTTGGATATATGTATTACTTACAGTTGATTAAGCTAAGTAAATATCTTTCCATAAATCTTTATGAAAGGATTTCAGCAAAGAGAGCAGCTCTTAACACTACCTATAACACACCACAAACAGTACACGGCACAAGAAAAATTTTAAATGCACATTGAATGAAACACGTGTTTGAGACTATTTTAAGTACGTGGATAAATCATTCAAGATTTCACCGCTAAACAATGTAAATCCTAGTTATGCCTTCAAAACGTACAAACCCTATTCCTTTGCCTTCCTAAGGCTAGGAGTCCCTAGATGTTGAGGTTCTGAAGCAAGTAAATTTAGTAAGAAAAGCATTTCCAGTGAAAAATGCTCCCACAGATCCGAGTTTTGCTTAGCGTTTCCTACCAGCAAGAAACGAATCTGTTCAAGCAGCTACCTTAGCCCAGGCTGCCCTACCTACAATGTGTTCAGCTGCTCTCACCACTGGTGATCAGCACAGCATCTGATTAGACGCCATGTTTTCTCTTCTTAATAAACCGAGATGCTCACAGAAGGCTGGATCGTGTCTTAAGTCCCTTTGTTTCCTCCATAATAACTAGCACAATTCTCATTTCATAAAATAAGCACCAAAATGTGCGTTGATTGAATTAAAAATAATTCAAAGAATGAGAAACAATGCATGTGTGGTGAGTTATGAAGTACCTTTCTGTCTAACTAAAAATCATGTAAATGATTCATGAACAACATTGACTATTAAATTTTTTAAGCCAAATCACATGAAAGTCTACAAGATGATCGATTAGGAAAAGTGAAATATTTCTTATAAACTCTTAAGCTTTTGTGTAAATTATTTTAATTCTGTCCGTTCACGAAAGAAAAATTTTGGAACACATAATCATGCATTCAATGGTTGATTTAACACAAAACTACATTAAATGTTTGAACTTGATAATAATTATGCTTAATTTAATCCACATACTGAAACTGAGTTAGAGATTAAAGAAAGTGGCATAAAGAGATAGTTAAAAGCTCTCTTCCTACTGGTCCTCCCTTTTTTCCCAGCTTTATTGAAATATAACTAACATACAAAATCATGGAAGTTTAAATGGTCCAATGTGAGGATTTCATATACGGATATAAAAAGGCTAGTTAACATATCCATCACCTAACATAATGACGAATTTCTGTGTGGGTGTGGTGAGAAGTATTAAGGTCTACCCTCTTAGCAACTTTCAAGTATTGTTAACTGTAGTCACCATGTTGTGTGTTAGATCCCAGAACGTACTCATCTTCTAACTGGGAGTCTGTGCCCTTTGACCCCCTGTACCCATTTCCCACATGCCCCCACTCCTGGCAACCACCATCCCACTCTGTTTCTATCAGTTAGGTTTTTATTCAGATTCCACATATAAGTGAGATCATATAGTATTTGTCTTTCTTTGCCTAATTTATTTCACTTAGCATAACACCCTCAAGGTCCATCCATATTGTCACAAATGGCAAGACTTCCTTCTTTGTATGGAGGAAGAATACTCCTCTGTGTGTGTGTGTGTGTGTGTGTGTGTGTGTGTGTGTGTGTGTGTGTGTGTGTGTGTGTTTGTAAAGAACAAAGAAAAGGGAATAAAGATAAACTTCAGGACAGGGATGAAATTGGCTATCAGAGTTACACAGAGGTTTTAAGCTACATCCAATGAGTCATTCTTTGGCTACATCGTAAATAGCTAGGAGTTCATTATATCATTCTTTACATCTTTTGATGCATGATATATTCATAATAATTTTTAATGTATAAGAATATATGCTAAAGTTCAATTAGTTATTTTTCTCTTTTAGTGCAGGTATCTTTTCATTCCTCAGTTAACTTCAACATCTCTCGCCTCTCTCCTGATTCTCAGCTGATAATATTGTTTCTTATTTCAATGAGAAAAATGAAAGCAATCCGAGGAGAGTTTGTTCATTTTCTCACTACCAAACCCATCGGCCACTAGCATCATTGCCTACAGTTACAAAAATGAACTGCCATTTCTTCTTTTCCAAGGCCTGGCATATAGAAGGTACTCAATAAACATTCGTAGAGTAAATAAAAGAATGACAAAATTCAGGTAATGTATGAGTCGGTGGTTCAATATTGCATTCTTAGCATCACGGAGTCATTAGAAAAATGTAAATCAAAACCACAGTATTATACTACTCACACTCATGAGGATGGTTATCATTTAAAAGATAGAAAAGAACAAGCATTGGCAAGGATATGGAGACGTTGGAACCCTCAAACTTGCTGCTTGGAATGTGAAATGGTGTCCCCACTCTGAAAATCATTTTGGCAGTACCTCAAGAAGTTAAATATAGAGTACCATACGCTCCAGCGTTTCCATTCCCTACATATGTACCCAAGAGAAATGAAAACACATGTCCACACAAAAACGTATGCATGAATGTTCACAGAAATTATTCGTAACTGAAAAGTGGAAACAATTCCAAGTTCCATTAACTGATGAACAAATAAACAAA